AAAAGAAAATGGAAAATGAAATGGAAACTGGGATTATATAGTGGTTATTTGAGTAGTATTTTATTTGGGGATACTATGGTACCCAGTATAGAGTAAGATTATATCCTCCCTTTGGGGTATAGTATTTGATATAAGGGATATAATCTTACTAGGTTCAACCACCAAAAAAACCGCTACGCACCTGGCAAGTACCATACAACCCTAAACCCTAAACCACCTGGCAAGTACCATACAAAAACGGCTTGTGCAGAGAGCTTGTTGCAAGCGTAAGACAGCTTCAAGCCGTTCGCTGCAGGTCTAGTGCCCCTTAAGTAGATAGAATATTAGGTTTTAGGATTTAGGTTTTAGGGTTTTTGGGGTTTAGGGTAGTAGGGTTTAGGAGTATAGTCCCAAGTAGATAGAATGCGGTGTATATAGGGGTTTATATATGGTTTAACGGAATTATTGGTGTTATATTGGGTTAATGGAAAAGAAAACGGAAACTACTATTGAGGGTTTAGGGTATAGTCCCCCCTTAAGTAGATAGAATATTGGGTATATGGGTATCTTATTATACTATACCCAGAAGTTATATTCTATCAGTTAAAGGGGACTAGAGTATGAGCACACGTTCAACTTTCAACTTTGAACACGTTTGTTTCCAAACTTCCCGCTGGCACCGCAGGAGAAATTCGTCCATACCAGAGGGAATAGCCAGGAGCGTGCCATTGCGGAGGAGAATGACCCTTGGATGGATGTGTTTCACCGGGACTTGGAGGGAGCATGGATGCTTGATGCCTGATGCAGTGTGGAGCACAGGATGAGAAACTAGCCAGGGATGATAAAGTGTCATATCGGAAGTGGGCAAAAATCAAATTAGTTCTTATACAGCGTAAGTTACAGGTATGTTTTGTTTTCTTGAGGGTTACACGGGGTGCTCCATCTTCACTCGCACTGAAGTTTCTTCAGGGATTTTTCGACCATACTGCATGTCCGTACCTCTTGAACCTTCTGCTGCATTCGGGACCGCTAGAACTAGACAAGGGTGTGCAGCTGCCGTCTGCAGCGTTCCCGAACCTGATGTGAGCCATCCCCAAACCACCATAGCAGCTTCGTGAAAACTGCATTTTTTTGTGGATGGGGATTGCACGGGGCTACTGTAGGAATAGGAACTGAATTTCAGTTACGGGAAGCAGGAAATAATTTTAAACATGTAGCATGCTGGCAGGCAGTAGGTATACTCCACGAGGGGGTTTCTACCTTTGAACTGTCATTCGGAGGAGGCTCTCTGCAAATCCTTCTGTATACGCGGTCCAAATCTGGAACGCCGCATTGGGTCCTGCAGTATTTTTGGGGTAAGCCTACCTGGAAGCTATGAAAGTGATATCCCATATTGCAAAGTAGATGGGTATGCTCAATTTCCCAGCAGCGGGTAGGGACAACCTGGCTAAAGACTCCTTGATTTGTAAGAGAGTCTGCTAATCAAAAAAGCTTGCGTACCGAATCAGTCGTCTGACAGTCTTTCATAAGCCCTGGACCACAAGTCTTAAACCGTCGACAACAAAGGACTGGTACCGTGACCGGCGTGGACTTCAACGAGGGGCACGCACCGTCAGGTATTTCCTGAGCAACAAGTTGCTCGGCACCAAGCGGCGGCTGTGTAAAGGAGAGTCCTCTTGTCAGTTCACTAGTTAGGGGAATTCTTCCCCTTGGTCAGTCTACCAAGCATGCCGTGATTGCATTGGTTACTGGGGTTATTCGGGAGGCAGGGTCGCTTGCTTTCAGGACAATTCGACTGAGCAAGTTTTACCTTCCCTGTATGTGCTGTATTTCTGGCTCCTGCTGTGCACATCCTCAGCAGAACCCTAAGGGTCCAAGTACCCAACAATCATATACTTACCCAAAACCTGTATTATAATCCCTATTACCCAAATCCAAAGTACCTAATTATTGGGTACATGGACCCTCTGGGGAAGACAGGAGGGATGCTGGAGGTTTTTAAGCTTGTGCCATACGCCAACCCCTGAAGCCCAAACCATCGATAACTCCCTTGACTTCGGGAACTCCGGCATGGAGGTGATGGCCCAATGACACCGGATAAGCCTGGCATATTCTAGTCTCAGATACAGTGATCCCTTGAAGAGGCACCTCGGCGATGATGCAGAGAGGGAGCTTGCGATCAGGCATGTGCTCATCCGACGTTTGGTATATCAAATCTCGCGCGTCGAGGGCTACGAGCCTAAGTTCATGGATAAGACGCTTCGCCCTGTTTGGGTAACCCAGAGGGTCCATGTACCCAATAATTAGGTACTTTGGATTTGGGTAATAGGGATTATAGTACAGGTTTTGGGTAAGTATATGATTATTGGGTACTTGGACCCTGAGGGGTCATCATACGCTTGGAGATGTCGTTGCCATGCCAATAATTCAGGATTGGTTCTCGTTTCCTACTAATCCTAAGGAGCCCTCCACCCCTTGAAGCGTTGAAATTACAAATGAACCCTCCACCCTTCTGAACATTGACTATACTAACGAAAATTTCAAGATCGCAAAGGGTTTTGATCACTAGCTGGACGTGGTCACCATGGTCAATTATCCCCACGCAGCCCAACATCCTCTAGGTAGGGAACATACTTTAACTGACAGTCAGCTAACCTCTGGTTGGCAGGGAATGAAGGAATGGAAGAGAAAATGCACATTGCCATATCGGGAGTATAGAAAGACTGGCTACTAAAAGATCCCTTTCGACATTCCTTGCTGACCAGATGTAAGTGAGGGTGTATCAGTATATCGCGCTCTGGGTTTTCAAGTAGCAGCCGCAAAATGAACAAGCTAACCGAATCTTCTAGGTCCCTAGATGACCAATATTGAGCTGAGGGATTAGGTGTCTGTTTTCCACACCAGGGACCCGAGCGTTTCGGAGAGTACTGCTTCGAGATTCGTGATTTTCCGTTAGGCATTGTGCTCATGATTGTTCTTGTCACTGAGAACCTTGCGCATGCGGTTGCCACCTTCAAGCTACACTTCTGTCGTTGTCCAAATCATTGGTTTACAGTAAACACCTGTGTTCACTAGGTGAATAGTCGTATACAGAAGGTGAAGACTAATACCTGCATCTTCCTCAGGCACCCGTGGGTTTGTAGGTCCTCCCGGCTAATTCCGAAAAGGGGGTGAAATAGGGTATTTCATAGGGGACTGTGGTTATTCAGGGGGATACCAGGAGTTCAGATTATGGCTTACATGAGGCTATTCTGGCATCCATGGTTGCCTCGCAACGAGGACTGCAATTGAACCTGGAGTGTTCCAAAACTTTTTCAAGGAGTCCGCTTTACCTGCTTAGGGTTTAGGGTTAGAAGAAGACCTAGCATGTGTTCGCCTTGATGCTGTTTCCGCTTTGTTGTTTTCAAAACTTGTTTGATGGGGACAAGGTTTTACACATTGAAAGGCTGGAGCGCAGAGGTTTCAGAAGTTCACATGTGTAACTTTGCATGACTTCCCGGTTGTTAGTAGGAGATGAAGGAATGGAATGTGATATCTACCTGGCGAGCAAGTATTTACATTGCGACATCAGCATTCATTGCTCCATTCCTTACCGAACTTTGTCACATGTCTTTTACAGCCGACCCCTAGCTGCGCTCCACTCACCTGGCACTCAAAGGAAGAGTCAGAATCTTCAACCAGAATGGCACAGACCATCCAACATCGGGAGGTCAGGCGTTCAATTGGAGAAATACAGACCACTCTACTTACCCAAAGGGTTAACGTAGGTCTGTAGTATCTACTTCTAGGGCCTAAGTGTGCACTGAATTGCTACATGGATCGTTTGGGTTAGATGCACAAGGGAAGGAACAATGACGTCAAAGCCTCACTCCCCTGAAGCTCAAACCTTCTCTTGCTAAAGAGGGAGTGGGGGAGTAAATATAGGTACCATTGTAGAGGTGTATATATATATATGTGTGGGTAGGCCCCTGGGATGTTTAATATTTTCCCTAAAGGATTTAATAAGGGACCCTCTATACTAATATTTGTCAAAGGGTTTTAGGTGCCAACCCAAATATGGTGGTTATATAGGGATTAGGTATATATATATATATACACCCTAAACCCTAAACCCGTGTGGTTATGTAAGGATTATTCTAGGCATCCAGTCTCCCCTAAGTACCGGAAAGAAAAGCCTGCCGTGCGAGTCGTGCCAAGGCTCCACTCCGCTCTGCACCCTAAGCATTCCACCAGGGTTTAGGGTTAAAGGTTTATTAGGGTTTAGGGCTTAGGGTTTAGGTTTTAGGATTTCTTGGTTTAGGGCTTAGGGCTAAGGGTTTAGGGTTTAGGGTTTAGGGATTCCACCCCATCTACACCCTTGATCTTATCGCAACGCTTCTTCTTGAACATTGTTGTGCCTTGAAAAAATCTAGGTCCCTAATCTTACAACGCATGATCTTGCAGCGCAACAGGTCTTATTTTTTTACCTTGAAACCCACGCCTGAGTATGAACGAGTCCCCAGGCACGACAAAGTGAGCTTCGCCGGCAGGCGTCAGCTTGCAGTTGGGTGGACAAGGGTCAATGTAGGGATATGATAGTTTATAGTCCCCCGTAAGTAGATAGAATATGGGGTATATGGGGATCGCATTACAAAGAAGCAGAAGCCATATTCTGTTTACTTAAGGGGGACTACATACTTGTAAGGCCTAAGTATGTACTATATACCTACAATCACCACCTTTTGAGAAGTCAGTGGGTCGAAAAATATGTATGGCATGACCATGTATGATCTCAAAAGTAAGATGTCCAAAGCAGGCTACAGTTTCAAAAGCCAAGCATTTATGAAGAACGTGGGCTAAGGGGGAGTGCTTGAAATTGCATTCTAGCGGCAAGGAAAGGAAGCTTGTGCTGCAGCTAGGATCTACAAGGGCGTCCTAAATTCCAACTCGATGCCCTTTGTTGTTTTTTGTTCGAAAGCTTTTTCTTCTTTCTTGCTCGGGATAAGTAATTATTGAAATGGGGATGATGATGATGAACACGGCGTTAGCTTCTCTTATGTCTGCACATGCTCGGGCAAGAGCAGGGCAGCTGTCGGGATTGATGCCTATTGCTACTCGTACTATTACCCTTATTACTACTATTGCTGGTATTATAGCCACTATTACTGCTATTATTACTACTATGATTATTACTGCTGTTATTACTACTATTATTATTCTTAATGCTATTATTTTTGCTGGTTACTACTAGTTACTGCTATTACTAGTGCTATTTTGTACGGCTGGATTTCCCGAGCTTCCGGCTGACAGGGTAAATCATTTCAGCTATATACTGGGGGTTCCCAAAATTGGGGGGGTACCTTTTGGGGGTCCCTATAATAATGAGTATAGCATTTGGGGTCTATATTGGGGTTCCCCCTATTTTGGGAAACTACAACATGATTGGTGTAGCCGATTGAGGGGGCACTGTGCCAAAATCGCAGACCCCTGGGAGGATCCCCAACAGATCCATGTAGCCATAATCTAAACTCCTTAAAGGGGGGTTATATAAGGATTATATAGGAGACCACTCTAGGGGTTATTAAGGGGGACACTAGGAGTTTAGACTATAGCTCATGTAGCTATTTAGGGTTTAGGGCTTATACTTTGGCCCTATAAGTAGATATTACCTACCTACATTGACCCTTGGGATCTAGAAAGTAGATTGCCTACTTTCTGAGCAGAGATGTTGCTACTTCTTTGCAGCATTGCAGGTGGACGCACGAAACAACTTTATTTGCAGAGACAAATGTTCCGATTTCACGAGGTGACGCCTTGTTACTCGCAAACCAATCCCAAGCACAGGCATTGGACTTCGTATCTCAGATCCTGCGTGGATTCTTGCAGCAGTGGGAGGAGGCGCTGTATGAGCACTCCAAGTTCAGGGCATGCAAGTTGCCACCATGTTTTGCACACGTGAGCTAGAGTCTAAACTCCTAGCATCCCCCTTAATAACCCCTATACTAGACCCCTATATAATCCCTTATATAACCCCCTTTAAGGAGTTTAGACCCTAACCGCTACACCCTGAACCCTATATAATCCCCTATATAACGCCCTTTAAGGAGTTAAGACTATGGCTCACATCAAACTGTTGAAATGAGATTTGCTACGCTGATGCCATGGCCCACCCCTTGGAGTCTTGCTCGGATGCCGTTGATCAACGGGTTTAGGGTTTAAGGTTTAGGGTTTAGGGTTCACGGTTTAGGGAGGAACCTTGGGTGTCAAGATAGTCAGGTTGGAGTTTTCCGGAGGAGCTGCAAAAACCTGGTACTCTCAACGGCTGCTGATGTCTTCAACCTTTACATCCAAGCCCCATAGGACTTGACATGTGAGATACAGTCTGGGAAGATGCAAGGTCTTGATCGGCCTAACCCTCAACCCCAAGCCCCCAAAGCCTAACCCTAAACCCCAAAAGCCTTAGCCTCAACGGACTGCATCGCCAGTTTAGCATCCTCTAGCCTGTGTAGGCCCCTGGGATGTTTAATGTGTTCCATAATGGCTTTAATAAGTGCCCCTATATACTAATATTTGTCAAAGGGTTTTAGGTGCCAACCCAATAGCATCCTTTAGAGCATGTCACCACCATTCATCCTCTGGAATTCCTGTACCTGCACAAGGCTTTATAGTCCCCCGGTAAGTAGAGAGGATAGGTTGTAGGGGTTAGAGTTTAGGGTATGATTAGTCCTCCCTAGGTAGACAGGATAGGGATTAGGGTTTAGGGTTTAGGGTATAGCCCCCTTAAGTAGACAGAATATGGGCTTTACGGGGAACATATTATGATAATGGGAAAGTCCATATTCTATCCACTTAATGGGGAATATAACTAATACGTACTTCAAGCGATTTTTGGGGAAGGCGCTGACGACAGCTTCGGGTGCGATGTATAGTCGCTACTGGCTCTGAATATCCTGAGAGTAGTGATAAATCCCCTCCCCCTAATATTAAACTCCCCAACCTCTAGGGTTTAGGGTTCAGGGTTTAGGGCATTAAACCCCGCCATCCCACTAATACTAGATACTCCCAATATATCTTAATACACCACATAATGGGAGTATTCAATATTAAAGGGGTGGGGGGGGTTAATATTATGCGGAGGGGATTTATGTGCTGCGCCTCCGGTTTTTGTAGGGCGTGAAGCGAGGACCCCAGTCTTGATGGAAAGTGCCTATTGGCGGCTGCGGTGTACTGTGTACTGGTACTTTACTGCAACCTCCTCACCCAGTAGCAGTTAGGT